TTGTAGAGAAATGTTTTCTCTACAAAACTGCCGTTTTAGAAAAATGTTGCAAATCGTTTTTATGAAAATACAAAACATTTATTGTGAATTTTTGAAAAACACGAAAAAATAACCGATGCACTCCTATCAGTGATAAATCTTGTGCAGCTTTTGTAGCATTGGCTATAAAGCCACTATTAAATCCTCTTCACAATACTGATGAACATAGTTTGAATTTTGAATTGGAGTTTGATCATTCAAACTGTGAGTTTTACCATTTTTGAATTCAGTGCATAATCAGTTCATCTTAAAAATTAAAGGTATATTAAAGGTATATCTTCCGTTATTTCTGTACTAAGCGTGTTGTTATACTTTTTAGAAAAGTGTGTCCGTAAAGATATAATAAAATACATTGCGTTTTGCCCGTTAATCTAGATAATACACATATAAAAACAATAACGTAGATATGAAGTCAATAATTGATTCTGTTAGAAATACGTTGGATAAAATCAAAATTCCAACTGGACAAAATAAGAATATTTCACATGCCCAATTTAAAGAAAACCAAAGCAGATATGGCATACCGAAACGATATATATTAACTCTATTAGGGTTTTTGGGATTTGTTTGCATTTTTATAGTACGCTCAAGTCTCAGCATTGCCATTGTAGACATGGTTGACACAGGATATGGAAACGACGAGCCCTCAAAGGTAGAGTATTCGAAGAGTCTCTTGTGAGCAAATTACAATAACTCATGCTATATTAGAACAAGTTTCATTGGAGTACGCAAATGCAAGGATACATTTTAAGTGCAATTTTCTTTGGTGTTTGTATTAGTCATCTGCCAGCTGGTGAGAAACTCAATTAAAACTACGTGATTAATGTGTAATCTATTATTTCATAATACCTCAGGTTGGTTAGCTAACTATATTGGTGGAAAAATACTATTTGGAGCTGGCATCGGATTATCGGGTGTGTTCAGTCTTTTTACTCCGATAGGTGCCACACTGGGGCCTGGTATACTTATAGCTATTAGATTCTTGGAAGGTCTTGGTCAGGTAAATAAAATTGTCTGGTTTCGTATTTTTAAGCAAAAAAAACGTACTACAAATGTTAGTCGTCTGCAGGCATCTGCGAGTCCGAACTGGACGGTTTTTTGGCGGACTAGGACTTAAGTTTTTGTATTTCGAATCCGATCTACTCAACTTTTAACACAAATGAATGGAGAAGAATGAAAAGCGAAATAACAGCACCTTCCGTTTCATAAGAAATTGAAAATTTTGTTCAGGAGACGGGCCTCATAGAAAAAGAATCTAAAAGATTACGGGACTCGGACTCACCCATGCCTGATCGTCTGCAAACTTAAGGATACTCCTCCTTTAATTTGAAACAAATTTGAATTTTAAGCTGAACATATCCTAATGTAGAAAACCGTCTGGGCTACAAAATGAGACTACTTCCAGCGTTCCATGACTTTCCTTGAAAATGTCATAAATTTTTTAAGTTTTCCTTCATAGTCTGAAAAACCTCAATTTTGCAGTTTCCTAAACTTTTTTCTCTTTTCCTGTACATTCAAAATGCTTTTTATACATAATCTGATTGAGGAAAGTGTTTTCTTTACAATGAGACGCCTTCAAAAATTTTATGATTGTTTTTCGTGGAGCTATAAGTACCGCCGTAAAGGCCGTGAAAAAAATGACCTGTGTACATAATGTATTTTTTCAACAGTCCCTTCAATCCAGTCACATTATGATCCCTCGATAACTTGATCAAATCGACTTCAAAACTTTATCATAAATACTAGACAACATTGCCCAAGTTTTGATTTTTTTTCCTTCTATCATCTTTTCTTTTCGAGTTATACGATTTTTAAATTAAAAAAACCTGAATTTTAAGACCCCTGTCAAAAACCTATTTTTGTCCTTGAAAATCCAGTCTTAATGAAATTTTCAGAGAATGTATACCTGGCTTTAGATAGCTGATAGTAAAAATTTGAGCTTTCAGTTTTATATATTCAATAAAATTCAATATTTACTTCAATATTTGAGCAAAATATTGAGTTTTCCAAGAGTTATTCTAACATTCAGAGTCAAAAAGTAGATGTCCGTGCAAGTGATTTCTCCTCTAATTCTAACAATACAGACTTCGGGTTGATGTCAAAATGTAACCAAGACTTTTCGCTGCAACGTAACAGAGCTGGATTTTTGAAAGTTTTTTGTTTATTTCTTTCGAAAGTTTTCTTTTAGAAAGTTGAAAAAAGTTACTGCTAACTTTTCGGAAAACTTTATTTTTCCCAAAAATTAAACTGAAAATAAAAAGTCTGGGTCTGTTAAGTTGTAACGCTTAGTCTTAGCTTCATTTTAAAACCTCCTAGAACTTTCTAGCATTTAAAATGACAGAGAAATCTTCTGCGCACGAATAGCTAAAAACGCAAAACCTGATGTCGAGAAATACGCAAAACAAGTTTTAACTTTAAAAATTCAAGTTTTTTTTTCATATGGCGTTATAAGCAAACATTAAGGGTAGTTCGTCAGAAGTTATCAACTATGGCGATTCGAATGAATACATACGGAGACATGTGCGGCATATTTTTTAATAACTGAAGTTTTCAAAAAAAATCAATTTTTCTCATTTTTCCCGTAAGGAAACGATATCAAAAATCGAGTTTTCTAGAAAATTCGAGAACCTTGATAGCTAGAGAATTGCAACAACTTTGAAAAGATACTTAATTCAGTTTTCAATTAGTCATGGAATGGAGAAGGCTCTCTTATTTTTAGTTTATGCTTGACAATATTTTTACGGAAAGCCTCAAAAGGGGAGAGGGATACCCTTAAAATGTAAGAAATAGGATCATGTTAGACACGTAGATGAAAGATCAATATCATAATCATGACGCGATCGTCGTGATTATTGTTTTCGAAAATCAGTCGGTAAGATAGCAAAATCTGAGAAAAACAGTAATAATTCGTCGATTAACTACTTTTAGTATCTTTTATAGGGTGTTAACTATGGGTGCATTACTGCACTTTGGGTAAAATGGGCCGTACCAAATGAGAAAAGTCGCATGAATGCAATTGTGTTGTCTGGTACGCATCTATATTAACATTGATTGAATGTAAGTTCAATGTAGCATTATTGTTGATTTTAGGCAGTTATATAGGAACATTTATAACAATGGCTTTAGGAGGTAAAATAAAGATAAGATATCCCGCAAATACAATATAAAAAGTGTGTTTTTAAGGAATCATTTGTGCCGAATGGTCATGGCAAGTGCTTTTCTACTTATCAGGTATGTAGACGAGCTGTACATATAAATGTCCTAAATCAGTTGTTGTGACGGGAGCTACTGAAAAGATCCACGTTGAGATCGCGTGACACGTTCGTTTTCAAGCTTTCGTTTTTTATGAAACGCTATTTCAAAGTCACGCTCATACTAAAACGCTCGCCATTTATTCGTGATTTCTATCACGGAGTCGTGCTATGCTTATCGCGATCGAATCGCGAGTCCGCAACACGTAGATGAAAGATCCATATCATAATTATATCGGGATCGTCGTGTTTATTTTTTTCGAAAATCAGCCGGTAAAATCTGAGAAAAACAAATTATGAGAGGATTTGTCATGGGTCAATAATAAACTACTTTGTAAAGCATATCTGATAAAGGTGTAGTCAGAATTTTAATGATTCCGTGGTGTCAGTGCGATGACCGATATCATCCGAAAGATCAAAGTTTCCCACCATCTATATGCCAGGACACGTTAGAGCAATAAACCAACGCCTAGTGCTGATTGAGAGTAATGAAAGACGTCGGTGGTTGCTGTTAAGTGTTTGCTCAGTTTAGTTTGTTATGATCAGAGATCACTTCGCATTCATTAAACTTGAGCCTTCTGTATCATACACTATACTATTTACAACAATCGCGACTGCCTTGTGAGTCGCATGAATGCAACGCTATCTGGCCATGAATCAGCCAAGATAGTTGATCTGTGGTAAATTTTACATTCGCACTGTTATTTACACTGTAGGTGTGTGTATTATATTGTGGGCTGCAGCATGGTTCTATTTTGTAACTGAATCACCATTGCAGCATCAGACAATTACAACAAGTGAACTTATGTATATTGAATCACATTTAACGACACCACAACCTAAAGTCTGTATATGTACTCCAGGAGTGTTGAAGACATCATCGAACACAATTTTCCTTGCAGCATATAACTATTCCCTGGAAACATATATTCTTATCAAGACCATTTTGGGCTGCAGTCTTCGTGCATTTTGCTCAGGACTGGAGTTTTTACATTATGTTTACTGGATTGCCAACATTCTTGAGATATGTGCTTAAATATAACTTGAAACAAGTATGAATGTAGGAACCGGTAGGAGCAGTTTTTGTATCGATCATTTACGTTATCCTTCAGACTGGAGTTTTATCATCTTTACCATATCTGTTCATGGCTCTGACTTTCACCGGTTTTGGCTATCTATCTGATTTACTGACATCCCGATTTTCTACAACAGTTATTCGCAAAATATCCATTGCAACGGGTAATTATTCTACATACTATAGTCTTTGACTGAAATAAGAATAATGTTATTTATTTTTGAGGCTTATGTTTACAGGCAATAGCATTGATAATTATCATTCTCATTAACAATCGCGATGCAATAGTAGTTATGATAATTTTCAGCGTCTCCTGTGGAGGTCTAGCATGGAGCGGTTTCGGAATTAATTATTTAGATATTGGCGCTCATTATGCACCAGTACTGATTGGCTTAGCAACTACGATTACAACAATCGCCGATTTTTGTGCACCGATTGTGACAGGGTATCTTGATAAAGATCATGTAAGTTTAAATTTCATATGACGGGTAGTAACATCAGGAATATGAACTGATCTTTTATTTGTGCGTGTTTTAGACAAAAAAAGAATGGAATATTATATTTTCGATCCCGTGCGTTTTATTAGTTGTGTCGTCAATTTTATATTTGATATTTGGTTCAGGTTAGTTCTATTGGATTTACCATTAGAAAGCACATGGTTGTTTTCGAATAACGAAAAGAGATCTAAGTCTATAGTTTTCGGTAATCGATGGAAGAGTCTGAGATAACCTTAAATTCATATGGAAAGTACGCTTGGCTTTTGCGCGAGAATAGCGAAGGCATATACTCATCTAATTAAGCATACCACAGGCATCAGGAATTAAGCAGTGGAAAAAATATAAGAGTTTACTAAACTTTGTGCAACAAATCGTTGAATTTTTGATGACAACAAAGCAGAGAACGAGAAATAGCCCACCGGGTGGTGAAGGCAAGTGCTCAAAACGTAGACTGACAGCACCAAACGAACCCACGTTAACATATTCAAAAAGAACGACACAACAAGGAAATCCACAATAATAGTCGAAAAGTCGACGATTCACATGATACCGAGGTTTTCATCCCTCGAGGTATTTAAAAAGTCCTTGAAACGGATAAACAAGCTTTTTTAAAGAATGTGGATCTTGAAATAACAAATGAAGAACCTGAACAAGCATTAAAAGACAGCGGATTTGCTTTCGAAAAAATCGATCGTATTTTAAATCACAAAAACTCGCCCCAGTACCACAGTCAAGGTCACATTTGTCAATGCACAGAACAGAAACATGGTCGTCCGAACTGATTTTCAAATGGGATGTCTAAACATTGCAGTCGAAGCAGCAAAAATAAATGCCAGGCCTCGGCAATGTTTCATTTGTCTGTCGTATGGCCACATAGCCAAATATTGCAAAGCTAATCAATAAATACGCACTCGGAACATGGTGATAGTATATTTCATTCCACAACCACTTTTAGTAAGACAATAAGTCATATCCTGGATGTGGCAGATCAGCAAATGCGTTTTTTGGGGTGAATTTTCGATGCTTTAATCTGAAGTAATAAATAACAGACTAAAAATCTACATTTTCGTAAAAATCGGTTTTCACTCGGATTTTGAATTATTTATCACTTTAATCTTTAGAGGAATAGACTGTCAGTGAGTCCTGCAAAACTTTACTTTGAAAAGAATTCCGAACTTTGTTTCACTTGCGAAAAGACGTGTTCCTTCACGAAAAACTCAGCTTTGTCCTTCTTTTTTTTCATAAACATTGAAACTATTTTGAATCGATAGTCATTACGAACTGTCCTACTAAATAGTTTGTAATTTTTATATTTTCTTCCAGGTGAAGTACAACCATGGGCTATTAGCACAGGTGATGATCAATCTATTCTTGATTCAACATCACCACTTGATACAACTAGATTAAGCACAACTTCACGCGAAAAACTAGACGAATTAAACGATAAATTAAGAGAGCAACTAAACGACTCAGAAGTACCAACCGAATCGCTTCAATCAGTAGAGAAACACAGAGATTTAGATTAGACTTGTATCAGTTAAAGTTATATGACGGTTAACTGACATTTTAGAAACCGATCATCAGTTAACTGTTTAACTGTGTCAGTGGGACACTGATTATACTAATCTGGCACAGTGGACAATTTTGGCTTACCATGCGGACATGCTGCATATTCAAACTACTTTTTGGCTCCAGTAATGATCAATATCACTGATACTAGTGTTTTTTCTCGAGAAATGGAGAAATCTAAAAATATTATATGAAAAATCGGCTTAAGGACACGAGATCAATGCAAAATTTTTCTCACTGAAAACAATTGTGATATAGATCATTCGATGCAGTGCGACGCACTGATTCCGAATATGCCATATGTTTTGATTGAAAATATATTCTAGCACGGAAAACGGATTTTACGTCAAAAACCATGGGTTTGTTAAAAACTTCGGTGGAAACTTAGTAAGTTGCACTAAAAGCACGTTTTCGGGAAGTTTGCTAGCATGAAAATCATCGATTTTATCGGCTGTCTTCAGGCGCCATAAATCTTTTCTCAGACGCTCGGAAATGATCCACGATTTTCGTGGACTAGTATTCATTTCATATAACGATGTCTGTGTGTATCCTTTTGAAAAAAAATGAGACAGAGACGTATGAGTTTTAGGTCCTGAAAGTAGACGTGTGAGGGCGTTGGGTTCAAGGAAAAGCCCATTGTTTCAGACGACTTTCTAAGGGAAAATTAAAAATTTCATACCTCGTCCAAGGTAGATTATTTCACCTAATATAGATTATTGATTAAATTTTAAGAGTGCGTGAGAGTCGGGTGACCTTGTCAAAAAAGATTTGGGTACACGCCTGTAAGTGGTGGTTTGAAATTCATTTTCCGATAGATCAACGTCGTCAGGTGTCTACTTTCAAGAACTCATTTCGTTTGAAAGAATGCCTAAAGACACTGGAATGGATAGTCGTTCAGATCAGTCTAGTATGATCAGTTAAAATCAATTAACTGATAGAATTAGTTAACTGGTGACTCAGTCAAACAGTTAATCGATAACCAGTTACTAAAATACCACCTAACCGTAACTGGTGCAGGTCTAATTTAGATGAATACTGAGAATATTTTTATTGTAGTTTAGAGTGAATCCTCAATTTGTGCTTTCTTTCTAAAAGGTGGGAAAACATGCCGCTGAGCAACATTTCTTCTAAGTGTTACCATTATACAACTTTTAGTCAGCCAACAGCACTGATGAATTTGAAACTATTTTTTGAAAAAGTTGAGAGTTATAACCTTGATTGTCTATTAAATGCCAGTAATGTTTCACCTGGGCTGTCTAATGCAATGAAAAAGCCTTTTCTGCAGAATCATATTCCACACCCCGCTTTGTTTATCTGATCAAAAAGAAATTGTACAATGATCGGTTAAAATATGGCTTGAATGTGTTGAGCTCATGGATATAGTCAAACAAATACCCGTGTAATCTGTTACTCTCTGTGTATCATACGATCAAACGTATTCAGCTGACAAGTATTTATCATAAATCAAAAGATTGAAAGAGACTTTTTCTACCTCAAATCATTTGAGGTAAAAAAAGTCTCTTTCAATCTTTTTGTCTAAAGAAAATCTACTCAGACATTTTTTTGACCAAGAAACAAACTCACAAACCTGCTTCAATCAAAATGAACAATGTTATTTTGTATGAGTGAAATGAAAAGTTTCTTCACACGTCGACAATCTTGAGATCATTTCTGACAGAATCTTGATTTCAGGTCAATCATCTCTGATCCTATACAATCAATAATAAGATTCAGATTAGAATGACCTGATCTGAAAAATTTTTCAAGATTCATGGTCACTGATTCTTGGTAAGAAATCAAGATCAGTCCATTCTGGTCTGAATCAGGAG